AGTAATTTGGAGAATCCCAAGAAGTACATCCCTGGAACAAAAATGATCTTTGCTGGCGTCAAGGGAGAAAGGGCAGACTTAATAGCTTACCTCAAAAAGGCTACTAATGAGTAACAGTCACTGCCTTATTTATGACAGAACAGAAATATCTCATGGCTTTTGTATGTGTACCATAATTTAATCTTATACACCAGAATTCAGATCATGAGTGGCTGACAATATTTTTGTTGAACAGTCCTAATTGAAATAAAATTGGCTTGTATTTAAATGGATATCCTTTTTTTCAAGTTTTGATAGTAATTCCAGTTCAGTAAGTACTATCATTGTTTTCCTCTCTAAATATATGGTTGGATTTGATTAGGAATGTTCAACTTTTCATAAAGATTGAGAATGTTGGGCCAGCAAGATAGCTCACTGGTCTAAAGGACCTGCTTAGGCAAAACTTAGGCAGGCGTAGGGGACTGCAGTTTGATCCCTGGTACCACATACCATGCCAGCCCCACCCTCAGGGCAAGCTGATGGGGGGGGGGAATTGAGAATTTCATCTCAAAACTACTGAAGGTTGGTTTTATATTTAGATTTATATAACTGGTTATATGAATATGTTTAAATACTGGGAGAATCTTTCATTGTCTCAAAACCAAGCAAGATTCCCCTGTTTCAGTTTGTGTTTTATTAGCCTGTTAAAGGTAGTATTTGAAGATGAGAAAGCTATGTGTGTATTTTTGGTCTTGACTATGCCAAATTAATTAGAATTCCCTGTATCTAAAAAAGTGAGATGGCTCAGTGGAATAAGTGCTTCCCTGGCAAGCTTAAGGGCCTGAATTCAATCCCTGAGTTCAATAAAAAAACTAAAAGTTTTGTGGGGCCGGGGAGATGGCTCAGTAGAATAAGCGCTTCCCTGGCAAGCACAAGGACCTGAGTTCAATCCCTGGTTCTTAAATAAATAAGTGCTGCTTTTTACTTATTGAAAGACATTTTAGTGTGGTTTATGTATAATGCCAAATAAAGAATATTTAACATTTCTCACATTGTATAGTTCATCTATAAGTTCAGATCCTTTTAAAAGTTAGCATAATATTACAGCACATTAGACTTTTGAGTTCTTTAGGTCAGACTGAGTTACTGTTCTGGGCAGTATTTAAGACAGCTATTTATTTATTTATTTATTTATTTATTTTTAAGACAGCTATTTAAAACATAAGGGGCCGGGGAGATGGCTCACTAGAATAAGCATTTACCTGGCAAGCGCAAGGGCCTGAGTTCAATCCCCAGTTCCGGGAAAAAAACAAACAAAAAAAAAACAACCCACCATAAGACTAAAACTACTGTTATATGTGTGATTGGTAGTGGTGCTTTCTGTCAGGTCATTGGAAGGATTAAAGTGAGGAAGATACAGTGTGATCATAAAATTTGTGTGTGACCATAATACTTAATTTAAAACAAATCAGATTGATTAACAAAAATAATTGACATGGAAAGATGTCATATATATGACATATATGGGGGGGCACTTGTCTTCTTCCTATTGATCTAAAGAGTTTTGTGCATCTTATAGATAGATTTTTCTTAAAACCTAATTATGGGGGGGAGCAGTATAGCTCAGCAGCACACACCTGCCTGGCAAATATGAGGTTCTGAGTTTGATTCTTAGTTCAAAAAAATCTATCTTCTATTACTACTACTACTACTACTACTACTCACACACACACACACACACACACACACACACACACACCCCTATGTATAAAATATATAACTAGCTCTTTCACTTGAAATAAATACAGTCATAATTTTTATGTATTGAAAAGATCTTGGGCCAGCAAGATGGCTCAGTGATCTAAAGTGGCAGCTTAGGCAAGCTTAGGCAGGTGCAGGGGACTTTGGTTTGATCCCCAGCACCACATGCTGCACCAGCTCCGCCTCTAGGCCAGCCAAAAAAAAAAAAGAAAAGGAAAAAGAAAAAAATCATTTAAAAAATAAAAATCTTAGGGCTGGCGAGATAGCTCAGTGGACTAAGTGCCTTCTTAGGCAAGTGCAGGGGTCGGGTTTCGATCCTCAGCACCATATGCAGCACAGGCCCTGCCTGTGGGCATGCTGAGCTGGCCACGGAGTCCTGGCATGGTGTGGTGTCCGTCTCTAATCCCAGTGCTAGGGAGGCTGGAAACAGGAGAATCACTACGAGTCCAAGCTGTGTAGTGAGACCCTGTACCAAATATATTAAAAACAAAACAAAACAAAACAAAAATAACAATGTTAACTGAAATTATCTCTTTTCTTTTTTGAAACAGGGTCTTGCTATACAGTTCAGGCTGGCCTTGAGCTCACTTTGTAGTCCAGGCTGATCTTGAATTTGCAACTATTCTCTTGCCTCATCCTTCTAAATGCAGGGATTACAAGCATGTGCCATAATGCCCAGCAGAAATTAGCTTTTTTTTTTTTTTTTTTAATTTTTTTACTTGTGGGGGGGCAGCTCAGCCCACCAGGAGGTGGGGCTGGCTGGCATGTGGTGCTGGGGGATTGAACCAGGGTCCCTGTGCTTTGCTAAGCTTGTTCTAAGTAGGTGCTTTAGGCCACTGAGCCATCTCACCAGCCCCAGAAATTAGCTTTTCTGACTTAGTTTTAAAATACAATTTAGGGACCAGGGGTATAACTTAGCAGCATGGTGCCTGGCTGGCAAGTATGAGGTCCTGGGTTTGATTCCTGGTTAACAAAAAAAAAAAAGCTACTTAAAAAATAGGATTGAGGGTGGTGGGTGGGTAATCACATAACCATGGTGCACTAGGTAGCAAAGAGCCATTGTAAGCTTTTGAGCAGATAGTGGTGATAAAACCAGTGATTAGGAAGAGTTTGTGATGTGGTGCATGAAATAAATGAAGCAGAAAATGAGGTTAGAGAAACTGATTAGGAAGTGGTAGTGAAAATACAGGTCTTCACATAGGGTAAATTAAGGGATTATAAGGGAAAAGATCAATCTTAAAGACACTTCATAGAAGAAACCATTGATCTAATAATCTGTTAGGAGAAAGAGAACAAAGAGTTGTGAATCACTCATACTGACACAGTTTTCTACCCTATGAAATTGTAAGTTTACCTATTGTGAAAGAAATGAGTGTAATTGGAAAGGGGGGGCATCTTCTAGAAGGGGAGATGAATTTGTTTCACAGGGTGCAAGTTAAAGGGCTCAAGATACATCTAAGAGGAAATACTCTGTAGGCCGTGAATTGCCATTTAGAGAAAAAATTACTTCTAAAGTAGAGACAACAAATGGCAGTAGAGACTACCTGGATTTGGCACTTTTGACAGACTTCAGGGAGACATTGTGGTATTTTGGGTCTTCCTTTTCTTCTGTATGTCTTTAGAGATAGTTGGAAAGGAATGGTCTAAAGTAGGGCCTGAGGTTTAGACTTGGGGGAAAAATAGGGATGAGAAATAATCATGCTAACTAGTGACTACAACAACATACAAAAAAAAAAAAAAATCACTTTGTCATTTACCAAGTGCCATCATATTGCAGCAACTTAGCTAATACAAACTTGTATGCTTTCCATTATTACTGTTTCTTTTAAGGCTCATTAGAAAGTAGACTTAGAGCTGGAGAGATAGCTCAGTGGCTTAAGCACTTGGCAGGCAAGTGTAAGGTCCTGAGTTCAATCCCCAAAAAGCAAACAAACAAACAAAAAAAAAGAATTAGGACTCAAACTTTGGTATTCAACTTCAAATTCTATTTCTCATTTTTCCACTCCTGTCTTTTAGTGGTGAATTTTCCAAGGAGGAAAAGACTAAAGCAAAAGCTGCAGCCTGGAGCTGGGAACAATTATGAGATAGGCAGAAGGAGGACAGGGAAGATACCACATTATGGTCATGCACTGTTCTTTGGCCCTTTTAGCTCTGATATTCCCTGAAACTAGAGAACCTTGGCTGCTCCATCAGATTTGGAAGAGAAAAAAGGTCTCAACTTGTGTATAAATAGCGTGAAATATTTTGTAAGTGAGTGTCTAGTTTGGTTATGGTAGAGTTAGTGGTGACTTAGTGGCTTATTGAATTCTGGCTTTATTCCTTTGAAAGCAATACACTAATAGTGTTATTTATTATTTATTTATTTTGTGGTGCCGGGGATTGAACTCAGGATCCTGAGCTTGCCATATAGTGTATTGATATAGACCAATGAGAGAAAGACTTGTCTTGAGTTAGTTAAATGAAAACAAAATTTTACTTTTTTTTTTTTTTTTTTTTTTGGTGGAACCAGGGATTGAACTCAGGACCCTGCGCTTGCCAGGCAGGCGCTTATTCTACTGAGCTATCTCCCCAGCCCCCAGAATTTTATATGAAATCATAATTTTTATTTATTTTTGGAATACCATGTTACCTCTACTTGTGAATTGACTAGTTAGTAAAGATCCTAAAATCTGCTTTAATAAATAGAAAATCAAGAATATCTAAGTCACTTTAGTTTTCCAACTGGCGCTTATACTTACAGGATTAAATTATTCAACCTATTTCTGGCTGGGTGTGGTGACTAATGCCTGTGATCCCAGAACTCAGGAGGCTGAGACTGGAGGATTGCTACAAGTTCAAGGCCAGCCTGGAATTTGAACCTCATAGTAAGATTCTGTTTCAAACAAAGAAACAGAACACACAAAAACCAAATAAACACACACACAAATATTCCCATAGCATAAACAAGAGACAGTTATACCTTTTCAGAAGTTATAAATCTGCAAGGTCAATTTGAGAGGGCTTCTCTTGCAACCATTAGACTGATGTCTACCAAGACTCCTTCAAGGCGTCCTTGGAGCCTAATACTTGGAGCAAGCATAGTTGGCAGTCTGGACTAGGTGACTGAATGAATGAGTAAAGGACAAATGGAATCTCTCTTCCTGAGGCATGCTGATTTGTGTGGGACAGTTTTCCCACAACCTCACTACAGCTTGATGGATGGTTTTAGGACAAGTTCTATTGCTCAGACTTCATAGTGAGGAAGAGACAATGGAGGCATCATGGAACTGGTAAGTCCACAGGCATTTCTAAAAGGCATTTCTAATCTTGCTGAGCATGATGGTGCGTGCCTATAATCCCAGCACTTGGGAGGCTGAGGCAAGAGGATCACTATGAATTCAAAGCCAGCCTGGGTTATATAGTGAGACTCTGTCTCAAAAAGTCAAACAAACAAAAAAAGTGATAACCTGGTGTCACTTGGGGCTGAGTGACATGGTTTTTCCTCCTAAAAGATGAGGATCTTTTGAGCAACTGAGGAGGCTCACAGTGGTAGATTTCCTACTGGGAAACTGACTCTCACCCCAAGAGGCAGCCCTCAGCCCCGGGGGCGGGGGGGGGGGCGGGTAGAGGCAAGGAGGACCACTTTATAGGCCCTCTGTAGGAAGGTCACCACCCTTCCTCTTACTGCTTGGATGCTAAATCCGGAGCCTTTGTAGCTCATCACAGGCTTTGCTTACCTAGCCTGGCCTCGCCCTTTGGCTGAATGCCACTGGTGGTTTTTAGCCATTGCTGGAAATTACACCCTTTGTGAGGGTAAAGCAAATTTGGAAGGTGCCTGTTCTGGCTCCAGAGGGACAGGGGCTTGTCATCTGGTCCTGCACTGTCTTTTCTGCTGTGCATTCCAGGCTGCCATTTTGACCCTTGGTACACTTCTCCTAAGCACACAATTCTGCGTGGATAAGGGTTGTTACAGGCTAGCTTCTTTTTTTTTTTTTTTTCCATAATTTTATTGAGAAACAAATAGCAATGAGACAGTTTCAAACCAAATTGGTAGGACAGCTTCAATAATTAACACATTGCATACATTCTTCCTTTCTTTCTTTTTTTTTTTCGGTACCAGAGATTGAACTCAGGGTTTTGCGCTTGCCAGGCAAGCACTTACTCTACTGAGCTATCTCCTTGTCCCAGGCTAGCTTCTAGAGGGATTGTGGGGACAGACGTGTCAGTGCTGTAGAAAGAGCTCTTGACAGCAGTCTCCATGTCCTGCCTTGAAAGAATTACTGGTATCATGTAGATGATCAACAGTTAACTCGGTGGGGGAATACTGGAGGGGGTGTGGAGCTTATTCATAGCACAATATATTACTTCAAAATGTGATTTTCATGAGTTCAATCCCCAGTACCTCAAAAAAAAAAACCCCAAAAAACAAAAAAATGTGATTTTCAGAGCGTAAGTAATACACACTTATGTATAGAATATTATCATCATCATCATCATCATCATCATCATCATCATCATCATCATCATCATCATCTTTTTGAGAGGGTGTCTCGCTATGCAGTTCTGGCTGACTTTGAGCTCACTTTGTAGCCCAGGCTGGTCTCAAACTCACAGCAATTCTTCTGTCTCAGACTCCTGAGTATTGAGATTATACGCATTAGCCACCAAGCCCGACTACCTATAGAATATTAACATTAGAAAAAAAGTTTTGAGACTTACCTGGGTAGAAATCTTTGTTTTAGACATAAATAAACCTAGGGAAGTCCAGCAAAGGACAAAGGCATAGCTGTGCTAAGGAGCTGACACCCAGGTTTCATGAAAGGAATTGAAGCCTTTCCGGGATATTTTGGGGTGAGAGGAAATGCAATCCTTCCCAAGGAACGCCATGCTAATACCTTTCAACTCAGGTAATCCTGCCTCATTGCCTTACCCTACTCCTTCCAGACTGACCCCAAAAGGAAATAGTACTCTGAGGAAGGTACATTTAAATGAAAGAGTAGCCTGGTATGGTGGTGTACCCCTAAAATGCTAGCACTCAAGACTGAGGCAGGAGGATCATTGCTAGTCCAGACTAGCTGGGGCTACAAAGTAAGCTCAAGGCCAGCCTGAATTGTTTAGCGAGACCCTGTCTCAAAAAAAGATTTAAAAAAAAATTTACATTGCAACATGTGAATGACTACAACTTTACTAGATATAAAATGTAAGGAAAACTTTAGGGGACTTGATTTAAAGGCCAATAAGATTTATTTATAATTAAAATTATCCTTTCTATAATGAATGCCTATGAAGTTCATTCATTAATTTATGAAATATTTGTAAACTGCTGAAAGCCCTGTGATAATTTGAACTGAGCCTACTTTTGAGGAACTTCAGTTTAGTGCATAAATAAGCATAAAGTAATAGCGTCTGACAGATATGCACTAACTCTGTGGGAATTAAGAGGGAGGAGAGATTGTTTCTAACTTTTGGATTTAGAAAATTAGGAAAGTTTGTGAAAATAGGTGGGTGTATTGTTTAAAGAACTTGAACAGAACTAAACACTTGAACTGAACAGAAGGCAAGGTACACTAGATTGACATCACCACTACTACTGCTGCTTACTACATTCCTGTCTTTTCCCAATACTGCTTATTCCCTCCACCCTTTTTCTTTCTGAGATATTAGGCTGATCTTGATCTCTAGGCTCAAGTCAGCCTCCTGCCTTAACCTTCTGAATAACTGAGACCACAGGCATCTTCTGAGTACCTCTATATTTCATTTCATAGGGACAGAGCAATTTGGTAAGGTTTGGAGGCAGACAGTGTTTTCTTCTGGTCTTTGTACTGGGCAGAAATTGAAATCATATACTACAAGAAAATAGAATAGTCGGGGGAGTTAGTATTGTTTTGAAAATTTCTCAGGCCAGTGGTAGCAGTCTGAGTGACATGCAAGAAGATAATTGAGCAGTGCTGAAGACCCACTTGGTGTTAGAGACAGTGCATTTTAGAGAAAGAAGGCCTCGTGATGTAACAGTTGCTGTAGCACTGGGAGAGTTGAAGCAGAGGATGTCTGACTTCACACAGGAGCTGTGTGTTAGGAAAATGAAAAGGGGGACATAGAATATTGTTAGGAGACTTGTGTTCTAGTTGGCTAGAGAAAGAAATAAATCCAGGAGAAGCCTGATTTGTGTCAAAGTAATAGGGAATGTGTGGCCAGGCTGGAAATCATAATGAAGTTAAAGAATAGAAGGTGTAGAAGTAAAGACTGAGATGTAGACATGTGGGAAGTCATAACCAGGCAGTGTTTGCCTTGAGGTGGAAAGGCAGAGTTATCGTATGGTAATAACAATAAGCTTCTCTTCTGGAGGGTTAACAACCTAAGTTTGCAGACCGAAATTAGAGAAAAAAGAGGGCCGCAAGGAAAGCCAACATTTTGGCCCTAGCCTTCCAAGGTCAATTAAGACTCAGGACATATGAGAACTTGTACTGTAACGTCATGTAACTCAGTAATGTCCCAAATTTTCGGATTAAGGAGATTATGGGACCAAAGAGGAAAGTGATCAATGATGTAGAGTGTGCCTAAGGAGAGTCACATGGAGAGAAAACATTTTCTCAGGCTTTCACAGAGAGCACATTGGCCAAGCAATGGCCATGACTCATACACATGGCTGACACTGACAAAGGATCTACAATCTGAGGTACAGGATCTCAGGAAAAATCCTGAGGGGATTTGACTGACCTTATCAGATCCAAAAGCTACAACTCTTGTTACATAGGTCCTGCTTTACCTTGATCTTAACCATCTAACAGAAAAGTATAAAAACGAAGTATAAGATATAAAGCCATGGTGTTATGTTGAGCTGTAGGGGACTCAGGTCAACAATTTCTGACATTTCCAGCCAAGTGGAAGACCCAATACTATTATGGACTACTGGACTCTTTTAGAGTATTTTGCTGAGTTAACACACCTATAATATTCAAATGATGGAACTAAACAGAAAAGGGGATACAGATGAATGTCCATTTTGTACCTGTGTATTCAAAATTGTTAGGATAGATATATATTTACATTCTCTTAATGAATAGAGGGATTTGTTCTAATGGTGTTTGTAAATAGGATATCATGTCTGCAGCTTGTACAGCAAATAACCACTGGGAAAAGAGTATGCAATGTGTTAATTATTGAAACTGTTCTACCAATTTGATTTGAAACTGTCTCATTGCTATTTATTTCTCAATAAAATTATGGAAAAAAAGGAAAAACAGTGATTAAGTCTTTGATCGGGAGTAGAGCACATGATAGCACTGAGGAGCCATATAGGTGTCCAGCACAAATTTTGGCAAAGGAAGTTTTTTTTTTTTCTTGTGGGGTTGTAAAAACAATGGTTTAGCATCAACATCAAGATAGAATGTCTGTTTTCCCTCTTAGTACCACTGGGGACTGAAGAACACTTTTATGGCAGAACCTTCATTGTGTAGGAAGCAAGTTTCTAAAGGGGCATCAAGTTTCAGCTAGAAGGAAGACAGCCAGGGCTATATTTTATGCTTGCTTTCTACACTGCTCACCTAAATAATGTGGAAGTTTAATGGGGCCACTGGGCTGTGTCCTGGCCAAGAAGGACGACCTCCACAAAGTCCTGGCCTTTGCTTGCAGATACAGGAGCCAAGGGCTCCTGGGGTGAGAGGCTATAGCCATCTGGTAGGCAAATCCCATTTGGCTAAAAGGGCTTTTTTTTTTGGAGAGGGGGAACTGTTTGGGATCAGGCTGGGCCAGTGTTAATCTTCTGTGAGAGGCTGACCACAAGTTTTTAAATGTTTCATGCATAAAAATCAGTGGACTCACTTGAGCACTTTAATTCATTTGAGATCTGAAGTTAATTTTTCCTGGGCTGTCTTCAGTCATCCACTTTATGACAGCAATAGTGCCCTAAAGCCTCCATAGTTTGAAAATTTGGAAATGCTGAGGTCATTGTCCATAAAGATGTTTTTTGGATTTTCAGTGGTTACAAATTCCTTCAACACTGTTGTCCATAACTCCAAACATGTAGAAAAGAAACTTCCAAGTAGCTCAAATAAACACAAAGTTCTTAAAATTCTTTTTTGCTCTTTCTTAACTTGTTCCATTTTCACCACTATCTTGGCAGTAAAACCTCATTTGAATGAGTAGCTCAGAAAATAACTGCCTACCTAGCCATTTTCACATAGGAATCTAAGCAAAAGAGGCTGTGTAGTTCAGAGCTTGCAGTGAGGATGTACTGTACCTTTTTTGTAATAGTTTGTCTAGTTTGTAATTGGTTATGCCTTGTAACATG